AGTGGCATGATGTCGCTTGACAAACTAGCCAAAGCAGCACCAACAGGCTCTCTGAGTCTTTGCAGCATATCATGCGTGCTGTTCCACCTGGTGTCCACTTCCTGGAGAAGCTTCAGGGGCTGCCTGCCTAACCTTTCCTGAGCAAGGATTAGCTTTTCAGTGGCCTTAGTGCTGCTCCTGAAAAAAGACACCACTCTCCTGGCTCTGCTACGGATGTCTGCCAACACCTCATGTTCTTCAACTGCCCTTTTAACAATGAGGTTGATGGTATGAGTAAAGCAAGCGGGATGGTGTAGTCCCAGCTTCTGAATTCGTGACACCATGTTGGCCGCATTGTCTGACACCATGGCAGCAACTGAACCAGTGAGCCCCCAGTCAGATCTGACAAAGCCTCTTTGATGTTGTCAGCTGTATGTGATTTTGGGAACTTTGATACTCCCAGCATCACTGAGCCCAGTTCTGTGTTGCTGTCAGTGTTGTGGCATGTGACCCCCAGACAGGACTCCATAGTGTGGGAGGACCACATATCAGCTGTGAGGCAGACAGATGGGATGTTCTGTAGATGTGCCATAGCCTTTTGCTTCTCCTCTTGGTATTTCTCTCTGACCATTGTCTTAACAGTTTTCTGGGTTGACAGAACATATAGGTGGGGTCCAACTTCACAAATGCTCTAAAAATGCTCTAAATCCCTTGACTTCGATGGAGAATGGCTGAAAGTCCTTCACAATAATGTTGAAAAGGGCCTCATTAAGCTCCTTCTTCCTTCCTAATAAATAATACACAGTACAATTAGCATTCATTCATATTGGCAGAGTAATTCAAAGTAAACAAGACAAGTAAGTAAAAGTGATCCCTTTAAAGTAAGCCCATGCAGTGTTTAACCAAGTAACATAACATTTCATCTTTTATTAAATGTGCATTGGCAATACAAAATCTGTACACCCCTTGGGAGAATATAACAACCCACCCAACTAATGGATACCAAAATACAGAGGTGGGCAAAGGACCTAAATCTCATAAACACAGGCTATTTGAGACAAAACGTTGGATTTAACTGACAGTCACCACTGATAAGCTACTACTAAATATTATAGAAACTTAATTTGCTGTAAAGTTGCTTTGCAACGATTTGTATCATGAAAAGCACTATACAAATAAACTTGAATTGAATTGAATTTAAAAAGTAACAATTATGTGTATAAAGGTCAGTGTGAAAGACATGAATATGCAAACCTCTACGCACACCTTGGCAATAGAATCGCCATTGGCTAGTAAATTTTTTAGTTTACCTTAGTTTTTAGTTTACTTTACTCCAGGGGTCGGCAACCTTTTGGGCATGAAGTGTCATTTTTAATTTTTCTGGTTAACCACTGTGCCAATAACCATTGATGAGCAAGTGATGGAATGCTAAATTTCTCTAGTTTTGTGCTGATGAAGAAACAAACTAATCTAAGTCTTTGGATGGCCTTAAATTTTCAGCAAATGTATATTTTTAGGTGAACTACTGCTTTAATTTTTAAATGAAATTGCAATTGAGTGAAAATTGATTCTACACCAAATGTTTTAAGTGTAGCAATCATGCCTCAACAAGAAGCATAATATTCTGACAGTCATTGAATATTCATTCTAACAGATTAGCTCAAGCACATTCAGGAACGAAATGAGTAACTCTCTTTACAAATGATTAATTGAATCAATCACTCCAGATGATTTCTTCAAACAAATTAATTCAGAAACAGAACACCACAACTACTGTGTTGACGGAAACGTGCAATTTTAATACTCAATAGCACACTTGCAGTCGTGCTGTTGGTCTGAATATGATTATATTATACCTTTATTTATATAGCACATTATACAATACAGATTGTATCAAAGCTTTACAGTGACAAAAAGGAAAAAAGTTTGTCAATAATTTTCCTGTCATTTTTCAGCTAAAGTCAGTTCATTGATGATTCAGTGATGTCATCATTCTGTTCAGCTCTCTTTCAACAGTGTCTGTGCAATCAAGCTGACAATATTGCCAGAAATTAAGCGTCTCCAACTAGCAAGCCAAAGGCAACAGTGGCAAGGGACCAAAACTCCATCGGTGACAGAAATGGAGTAAAAGAAAAACATTGGGAGAACCAGGCTCAGTCGTGGGGCCAGTTCTCCTCTGGCCAGACGAAACCAGTATGGTGTGGTTTAGTTCCAGGCTGCAACACAGGTCAGATTGTGCAGAGGATTTGTCTGAATATCAACAAACCTGCTGCTTAGTCAGCTTTTCCATACAATAAAGCTGATGGTGAAATTAAATGTCAAGTTTGAAAAAATAATAAAAATCATGATAAAAGTGGTAGGCTACAACTGGTGAAGCAGTATTCCAAAATTTAACAAGACATATTTCTGTTTTAGTAGCAGATTGCTCGACTTTCAAAAAGCCTAATTGCTAGCAATGTAATATTGATAATGAATATTATATGAGACCATCTGCTTTGAGTAGTTGCATTGTGTTGTGTGTTAATGAGTGCACAATCTGCATATTCATGTTCATGTGTGAGCTGCAGGAAGTGGAATTCATATTTTTTTAAACATAAAAAAAAGTAAATTGGTTGAACCTGATGAAAATCTCCATTGCTGTTTCAGCACTGTGTGTTTTGAGAAACCTTTAAGAGGAATTGTAAAGATGCAGTGCAAAATTTCAAAAGTGCAGAAGTGGTTGGGTAAGACAACGGCACTATTTTTCATTTTTGAGATAGTAGAGGAACTTTTAAAAATGATTTTAGAAATAAACAAAATATTGAATAAAGAATTTGAATAAACAATTAACCAGACAGTTGGCATGTAATTTGAAGGTAATACTAGGTATTATCATCTATACAAAACAGGACAACTTGGGAACTTTATACTGTAATGTAAACATGGACCATGTAACATATACTGCAGTGAATTCTAAACAGTAGAGAGCTGTCGTTGTTTTGGAAAGAAAGAAAAGAAATCATTGTGTAATTCTACCTGATGTTAGTGGGGGTTTTTAGGTCATTGTTTTATGTGTGAGAAAGTGTTTGTTGGTTGACCAGCTTTACTAGTGTTATGGAAGAATGTGTTGATTTAAGACATATATGGAGTGTTTTGTTCGTTTTAGTGCATTTTGAATGTGCAATGTACTGCTGTGAGAAATGGGTCCTAGGAGTTGTTTGAAATGAAAAGCTTGATGCCTTTTTTCTTCTGACCTGCTGTATTGCATGAAGTGTATTGTAGGATGACAATTGCTGTGTTTTCTCTATGTAAATGATGATCAAATGTCACATTTAACAATCTCACCTTCACTGCTTCTTTATCAGGAAATACTTAAAGTGAGAAACAAAATATAATCTTTCTTCACTAGACAATTCTTGAATATGGATAGTAGTTTGCCATGTGAGACGGGTGAGGCAGAGATGGGTGGAGTGAATGAAGGGAGGTCAGAAATTAGATCGAAGTTGATAACAGATGCTACCGCAAGATGGTCTGGAATGAGCCCGCTTGCTTAAAAAGAAAAAGGAGAACGCAGATGATGTTGTGTAGACACTGACTGTGCTCCTGCATTTAGTTTTGCTCAAATAAAAAATAAATATATATATATATATATATATAATTTTTTTTTTTTTTTAACTGTTTTTTCCAAGGTATTTGCAACCTGGATGGTTCTTGCTACAAGTAAGTTTGATTATGTAAGAAGATGTTGGTAAAAGCAATTAAAACTGATATTTTTATAAGAGAAAAAAAATTCAAAAATCTCTCTCTCTCTCTCTTCTGTCATTATTTAGAGATACACTCATCTCACTCTCCACTCAGAGTAGGTGTGCTTTTTCTACTTAAAATTTACACTCTACACTTCCAATCCAGCGGTTTAAGAAAAACTACTGGTTACTTGTGGAGGAACATTTTTGGTTGGTTAATTACTTGAGCTGTGCTTCGGCTCTGCTATTCTGCATGAATGAATCTGATGGCAAAAAGGCACACAGCTGCGCCTGTGGTTAGAATGAAAGTTTGTTTCTGCCACAAGATAAAAAATTTAAAAGGTAATTGCGACTTATATCTCACAATTTAGACTTTTTTTTCTCAGAAATGCGAATTTATATCTCATAATTTTGGAGTTGCGAGATTAAAAAAATGTGTAATTAGCCTAGCTTTTTATTTTTATTCTGTGGTGGAAACAAGTTTCCATACAAATGTGATGCTATGCTATTGCTAACTACGTTGATGCATGTTTTCTTACGCTTACTGACGCTTTCTCTTTTTGCTTGCAAATGCTTTTCTCTTCGAGATTCAGTTGATATGGATTCAAGTCAGATGTGGCATCATTTGACACTTCGTAGCCATGGCGCTGGATGACTGACATAGACCCTATCCCAAACATCCGTGGTCCCAAATGACACGCTTCATGTGCACTTGCGGTCTTGTGAACTTACAGTGGCCATGGCTTGTGCATGTCCATTAAGTCCACGAGACCGTTGGGTGTCCTGTCCCGTTCGCCATTCTAGCTTCCAGAAGGGTGCTAGCGAGCGCCCCCTTTGTGGCTGCTATGCGCGTGCTAATGACTTGTGAAAAGCGGTGTAAGACACAAGTCCATCATTAGGGTGTTTTAACTGTCACTTCTGGCCAAAATTCAAGTCCATAATTCCTCCAGTGAAAATGTCCATCTCTGTTGTCCTCTCAAATCAAAATCCACCAACATATTTGTTTAGAAATGTTTTCGCTTATAAACAGTGCTTGATTTGTTCACATTTCTCTCCTGATATTACAATATTACATTATTAGAGAATTAGTATTTACTTAAAAGACTAATAAGTAGAATTTTCTTGTAAAACCTACTTTATTAACAATTAACAAGTATCTTTTCGTTTTATTTACAAGGATGAAAAATAATTTTATACAGCGTAATCCTCAATCTAAATCTAAATTTAACAAGAACTCTTAACTACTTGATGCTACTACATCATGTTTATAGTTAAGTCAGAAGGATTCGTGTAGTGTGTTTCATTTAATGCATTACAATACGAGTAAGAACACTGAGAACAATGAACCTCAATAAATAACATCAGAGAGACGTTTACATTAGAATCTTTTTACTCATCTTTCAAGAAGACTCCTACAGACATCAGGGTTGAATTGACATGAAAAGCCACTTTTTAAGAGGCTTTTGGTTCCAGCCTGCCAAACACTGAGCTCACACATCATGTATATTGAGGGAGATTATTGTACGCTATCAAAACAGAACTGGATTCCTCTGTAATCTTTGACCTCAATATAAAAATTTAAACATGAAAGCACAGATTGAGTGGTGCAGTAGGTGTACTACACCTTACAAATTAGCAAAAGAAAAACCACCAGCTTGTGCGATCATGCTTTAAAGCCATTTCAGGCTCGGAAATCAGTGATGACAAAAGACAGAATCAAATAATAATAATAAAAGTAAAGCAACTTTAATTAAGCAGTAATACTCATTTTTTAAAAGAAAATTAACAGACAAGCCTTAGTGATAAAATGGTGAAAAAGACACAAGGGGGCCAAAGGGACCTTTGACCCCTGTCTGGCCCATGTGGGCGAGCATGTTCATTAGAGCTCCAAGTCACAGCACTAATAAAAGAGGGGTTTCACTAGGCAGTATTTTCTCTATAGACCTTCTATTCCATCTCCTCTGTCTGTTCTCATGTTCATTTCTCTATGCAATGAGAGCAGCCAGAAAGAATCACTTCCTGTACATTCTGACTGAGATCATGAACCTGAATGGTTTGCTGTAAATGAGTCAGTTCTCCGTTAACCCTCTGGAGGATCTTGAAGATGACACGCATTTCCTCTTTTTTTCAATGTAAACTGTGTAAGACTCCAATAGAATATGAACGTAATGGAAAAAGACACCTCACTAAACCATTCATACAAATCTATCATGTAAAATAATGTGGTTGTTAACAGCAAAACTGTGAAAAACATAAGACTGAAAAAATAAAAATACTTTCCAAACAATTAAAACTGCTGCAGTGTGATTTTATGTAACATTTGTCATCCACTACGAGAATTTTAATAATTCTAATTCTGTTAGAGACAACACAATTTAGAGACAACACATCCACTTTTAATCTAAAATTAACTTCTCAGTACTTTGGCTTGAGGGATTGTAATTAGTAAACAGTGCTTTATTTTACTGTAAAGCTACAGCTTTTCTTTCTTACAACAAATGACACCCATTCAGAGAAGTAAATATTTTAAGAAACTGAAACTATGATTATGTGCTTGTTTTGTTGCCTTTGTCATGTCTGAATTTAGCACCATATGTTTTTTATATTACCAGACACATTTAGCAGACACAACAATGTTTTCAAGCATGGAAGGTATGTCATTTCAAATATATGCAGTCAACACTGTATATATGATCTCCCAATTTTTTATTTTTTTTAAGCAACAATCTTCACCTGAGATGCGTCTTGATGTCTTCTGTGCTGTGACCTCACAGAGACCCGTTCCTCATGGTATCTAAGCATGCTCGCCCCCACCGGCCCTCAAACAGAGTAAAAGGCAGCAGCAGAGTCTTCAAGTATTAACACAGCTCGGGCACTAAACCTCAGACACGCATTGTTAGAGCCTAGAATCACTGCTAGGAAAACAAATGAGCAGGTTATTGTTAGCTTGCATTTCCCCCACAAATATAATATATATATATATATATAGATTAATATGCTTATAAATAAAAATTCACTGCTGTAAAAATATCTCCGATTCCATAGGATCTGACCCACCATAGAAGGCTCATCATGTTTATTTTTTAAACCATTTTTGTCATCTTTTTCTCATGGTTAAAAAGCTACTGTTCGGAGCTTCTGTGTTAATAGGTCCTTGATTGAGCATAAAACACTGAAAAATTGAAGACTTGTTAATATTAATTTTTCTTATTTTTTGGTTTAATGCAGCACAGAGCGAAGAATCCCTTCTTGTGTGTTTTTTTCGGTTGCGGTGAAGCACCAAGAAACACGTATCAGTGTATGTCTCTGTGTAAGTGTGACTGTAGTTTGTCCTGTAAGCGTCTGAGAAATGCATGTTTCTCAGTGTGAATGTGGATGAGGGGAAAAAGTTCTGTAGTCTCTGCTAGTGTTTTAGTACTGCGTCTATGTTAAGCAGCGCTCCACGTTGATGCCCTCCTCTGCGTGGACCTGCAGGTCGATAGGTCGTGCTGGCTGTTCTCCCGGTCGAGCGTTCATCAGTGAGAGGTTCTTCACGCAGCCTGTGATACCTGATGAGTACTTCCCACCGGTCAATGCTTTCATGTCTGGAGCTCCACCTACAGTTCAAATGATTCAAATTATTAGGATTTTTTTTTACAAGAAAAAGTAATTTCGTTGAGACAACAATCTGATCAGTACAAGGAACAAATACCACTGTAATATTACACTTACCCAGGTATATGTTGCCCTTGGTGTTCACCATGATGCTTTTGCCTTCTGATTGCCCACGTTGGACAGATCCTCCATCGATTTGAAGGTAGCCCTGCTTACCCGTTCTGTTCAACACATAGAAAGAACTCACTATTATCTTTCTATTATGCTTTCTATGACCATTTGGAGAGGTTAGGAGCATTACCGGACTGCAGTGATCATGTGCCACTGTCCATCATTGACAGGCTCTCTGGAGAGAATCTGAGCCTCTCCACTGCCCAGCTGGTAACTATTAGAGGAACAAGTGCACATTATGACTGGCTACAAGGGACTGATCTAGATCAGTAAGAAACTGAAACATAGTGGCTGCAGCAGAGAACCCTAGTAACAAAAGTCATGAAATCTTGTGGATATTTCAAACATTAGGTTATTATACTGTCATCATATCATGTTAGACTCTTTAGCCATATACCCAATGTGGTTTGTTAGTATTAAAATGTGCTCGATTACTCACCTAAACACAATATGTCCATTTTGTAAACCAATACTTATGAAGTCCTTCCCCTTTCCTTGACCTCCTAGTTCCTGGAAAGTATTTTCGAACATTCAGAATGTCTTCATTTCCATAACATGGTGTATAAAGTTAGAAAAACCTGGAATAGGCTGTATTAATGATTAAATTTAACATCACTTTTCATATATATTGTACACTTTAGTGTCCCATGACTGTTTTACCATACAAGTTGGATTTAAACACATCAAATGTATGCCAATCTGCTCAATTTCAATCTACTGCAGGAGAAGTTTCATTATTAACTAACAAAATATGTTTTGGATTAACATATAGCTGTGTCCCATGTTTGATTTGAGGTTAACAGTCAACAATTTCCGAAGGCAAAAAAAAAAAAAAAAAAACCTTC